CCTCCTGTTTCCACCTAGTTTCAGTACCGTACATTTACTCAGGTTGAAGTTTAGTAGCCATTTGTTGGACCATTCGTTCAGTTTGTAGCCACATACTATCTTTCTCAGTCTTAATCCTCCTCATAATTTTTGGATCATCAGCAAACAATGAGAGGAACGATTCTATACCCTCTGGGAGATCATTTACCTATATCAGAAACAGTATAGGTCCAAGGACTGAACCCTGCGGAACTCTACTGGTGACACCTCGCCAGTCTGAGACCTCGCCTCTCATAGTGATTTGCTGTCTTCTATTGCTTAGGTACTCCCTTATCCACTGGAGTACCTTACCAGTGATTTATTTTACACTATGGAGAGCGGCAGGCAGAGTGTTTATGCTCCTTCCTTTAGTATCCATGGGCTTATAGCCTTTGTCACATCCAACTCTAGCAAAACTCTTCCTTACATCCCCACTGGTAATCTCAAACTCTTCTAGTGGTGCCTAGTTAACTATTCATTCTCTTATCTCTGGAACTTCTCCTTGCTCTATTGTAAAGACCTCCTCCCGTGTGTGTGTGTGTGTGTGATCACCTATAATACACAGTAAGGCATTTAAAACCTCAGAAAAGTCTGTACGAGTCAGAAAAGACCCGTATAAATACTAGTTTGGGAACTAGCATTTACACCATTGACTGCCAGCACTAGTGTGGTTACGAACATAATACTGGTATAACTAACCTGACAAATTCATAAATATTCAGGTTGGATAGGTCCTAATATTCATTAGCATGAATATTAACTCATCCTAATATTCATTTAGATGATTGCAATATTGACCTCCATGAAGAGTCGACAGAGGGGATAAACATTACTGATATTCCTTATTGGAAGACGCAAAACAAAAACCTATGTGTCGCATCCTCCCTGTATTGCTGGTTAGCACATTGTAACACACACACACACACACACACACACACATTATATATATATATATATATATATATATATATATATATATATATATATATATATATATATATATATATATATATATATATATGACTGAAAACTCACACCCCAGAAGTGACTCGAACCCATACTCCCAGGAGCAACGCAACTGGTAACTACAGGGCGTCTTAATCCGCTTGACCATCACTGCCGGACAAAAGGAAGTGGTAGCCGAAGCTATTTGAACCACTTCCCCGCCGGCAACTCGGATGGTAATCTTGGGCATAGCATTTCACCAAATCACCTCATTCTTTGGGGCACACGTGAGGAACACAAATGCAAACAAGCCTGAATGGTCCCCAGGACTGTTTGCATTTGTGTTCCTCACGTGTGCCCCAAAGAATGAGGTGATTTGGTGAAATGCTATGCCCAAGATTACCATCCGAGTTGCCGGCGGGGAAGTGGTTCAAATAGCTTCGGCTACCACTTCCTTTTGTCCGGCCGTGATGGTCAAGCGGATTAAGGCGCCCTGTAGTTACCAGTTGCGTTGCTCCTGGGAGTATGGGTTCGAGTCACTTCTGGGATGTGAGTTTTCAGTCGCATATAGTCCTGGGGACCATTCAGGCTTATTTGCATATATATATATATATATATATATATATATATATATATATATATATATATATATATATATATATATATATATATAATCTTTGGACAACACCCACCAGTGGGACTCGAACCCAGAAAGCACAACTACCTTCCAGTAGCTGGCATAACTAGTATGCTTTAACCCCACTACGCCTTCAGACCTTACAAAGAAGTAGATAGTTCGAGATATATATCTCAAACATCTCTACCTCCCGAAGGCACCAGATGAGTGAGGGGTCAGTCTGCATTTTTCGTCAAGCCACTGTCAGCCAAAGATTGTTTATCTTCACTTGTGGTTTATGCAAGTATAGGCTTATAAGCTGGACACGAGTTCTCTCACATTGACAGTGGCTTGACGAAAAATGCAGACTGACCCCTCACTCATCTGGTGCCTTCGGGAGGTAGAGATGTTTGAGATATATATCTCGAACTATCTACTTCTTTTGTAAGGTCTGATGGCGTAGTGGGTTAAAGCATACTAGTTATGCCAGCTACTGGAAGGTAGTTGTGCTTTCTGGGTTCGAGTCCCACTGGTGGGTGTTGTCCAAAGATTGTTTATCTTCACTTGTGGTTTATGCAAGTATAGGCTTATAAGCTGGACACGAGTTCTCTCACATTGACAGTGGCTTGACGAAAAATGCAGACTGACCCCTCACTCATCTGGTGCCTTCGGGAGGTAGAGATGTTTGAGATATATATCTCGAACTATCTACTTCTTTTGTAAGGTCTGATGGCGTAGTGGGTTAAAGCATACTAGTTATGCCAGCTACTGGAAGGTAGTTGTGCTTTCTGGGTTCGAGTCCCACTGGTGGGTGTTGTCCAAAGATTGTTTATCTTCACTTGTGGTTTATGCAAGTATAGGCTTATAAGCTGGACACGAGTTCTCTCACATTGACAGTGGCTTGACGAAAAATGCAGACTGACCCCTCACTCATCTGGTGCCTTCGGGAGGTAGAGATGTTTGAGATATATATCTCGAACTATCTACTTCTTTTGTAAGGTCTGATGGCGTAGTGGGTTAAAGCATACTAGTTATGCCAGCTACTGGAAGGTAGTTGTGCTTTCTGGGTTCGAGTCCCACTGGTGGGTGTTGTCCAAAGATTGTTTATCTTCACTTGTGGTTTATGCAAGTATAGGCTTATAAGCTGGACACGAGTTCTCTCACATTGACAGTGGCTTGACGAAAAATGCAGACTGACCCCTCACTCATCTGGTGCCTTCGGGAGGTAGAGATGTTTGAGATATATATCTCGAACTATCTACTTCTTTTGTAAGGTCTGATGGCGTAGTGGGTTAAAGCATACTAGTTATGCCAGCTACTGGAAGGTAGTTGTGCTTTCTGGGTTCGAGTCCCACTGGTGGGTGTTGTCCAAAGATTGTTTATCTTCACTTGTGGTTTATGCAAGTATAGGCTTATAAGCTGGACACGAGTTCTCTCACATTGACAGTGGCTTGACGAAAAATGCAGACTGACCCCTCACTCATCTGGTGCCTTCGGGAGGTAGAGATGTTTGGGATATATATCTCGAACTATCTACTTCTTTTGTAAGGTCTGATGGCGTAGTGGGTTAAAGCATATTAGTTATGCCAGCAACTGGAAGGTAGTTGTGCTTTCTGGGTTCGAGTCCCACTGGTGGGTGTTGTCCAAAGATTGTTTATCTTCACTTGTGGTTTATGCAAGTATAGGCATATATATATATATATATATATATATATATATATATATATATATATATATATATATATATATATATATATATATATATATATATATATATATATATGTTGCTTGTGGTTTGTATTCTGTCTTGGTATTCTGCAACAAATGATTTGCATGTGCATGCTGTCAGTGCTTATAGTTAGTGAAGATAACTTGTGTACCTTCACTTACAAAAAATAATATGAGCTGTCATGTTTGTCAAGTCAGGTCATTCGCTGCTTAAACTGTGACACGCGCTCACGAGGGGACTCTTAATTGCCCTCACTAACACCGCAGTTAACTAAACACGCTTGTTAATGTTACCCCAACACTGGAAACTAGTGGTTGGTGTGTGTGTGTGTGTGTGTGTGCGTGTGTGTGTGTGTCTGTGTGTGTGTTTTATTATCTCTATCATTACGCCACGTATAAGAGCAATTTAATCATACGTGTTGATTCGTATGCAATGAAGAAAACTAAACCTGTGCCTCTAGAGTGCCTGCCTCACGTACTGGCACTAACAACAGTGGCAGGTGCCCCACATCCTAGCACCAGGGGGCTGGCACCCTCACTACATGGGGCCACCACCACCTTGACACCTGCATGCCTTATCAACCGGTGGCAGCAGTAATTACAGCTATCTTCTCCTGGTCGTTTGACGGTTCCCCTCCCCCCCCTTCCCCCCAATCTCCCTCACACTACTATCCCTTACTACCCCCTCCCCCCCCTCGTACTACAACCACCACTACTATATATACACCAGCCAAACGTAACGAGGCTTTTCTTAGGTAACGGTCAAACTGCGCACTAGCCAGCTGTGTTGTGTTTGTTTGCATCGCCTGCTGCGCACAGCCACGGCCAAGCCTCGTATGCTCTTAAATACTTTGTTGCGGGAATTAACTCCACATTCAACAACGGTTCTGAGAATGGGATTCCCTTTTGTTCATCACGTTCCAAATTTAACACAAAGACAAGGTTCGCTGCAGCGAAGGATTCCGCCATGGTCGTTCACCCGCCACGATTGCCAGTTACCATAATATTGCAACGTTGCATCCTGCACGTGTACAAACCTCTGTGTATTTACTCGTTTGTTTTCCTGTGTAGCTCATGACGCCCGAGGAATATTGTTCCCGTTATCTCTGCTGTCGGGTCACACAGCGCCACGCACGCGGATAACCGCCGCGTTATAATTAATCTCCGGAGGTTGGCAACCCCCAGAGACTCACCTGCATCAGGGGTTTTGAATGCAGCGTCACCGCTTGGGCCCTGGCGGTTGGTGGGTCCTGGGGTGGGGCGGGGGTTGTGCTTTGGGGGTTGGAGGGAGGGTTGGGGAGGAGGGGATGGGTTGTTTGTGCGTGGTTAGAAGGGAGGGGGGGAGAGGAAAGGGAGAGTGGGAGAGGCCGGCAGCGTCGGTGACAACCCCTTGATGACGGCTGTGTGTATGTGGGGACGTTATCGTATTCCTGGCTGTAAAAATGGGTGCTAAACCTGTCGGGTCGGGACTCAAAAGCTGCTCTGTGTTTGTTATCTGTGTTGGCACTCGCTCTGTGTTTGTTGTCTGTGCTGGCACTCGCTCTGTTTTTGTTGTCTGTGCTGGCACTCGCTCTGTGTTTGTTGTCTGTGCTGGCACTCACCCTGTGTTTGTCTGTGCTGGCACTCGCTGTGTTTGTTGTCTGTGCTGGCACTCACCCTGTGTTTGTCTGTGCTGGCACTCGCTCCGTGCTTGTTATCTGTGCTGGCACTCGCTCTGTACTGGTACTCGTTCTGTGCTTGTTGTCTGTGGTGGCACTCGCTCCGTGCTTGTTATCTGTGCTGGCACTCGCTCTGTGTTTGTTATCTGTGCTGGCACTCGCTCTGTGCTTGTTATCTGTGCTGGTACTCGTTCTGTGCTTGTTGTCTGTGCTGGCACTCGCTCTGTGCTTGTTGTCTGTGCTGGCACTCGCTCTGTGTTTGTTATCTGTGCTGGCACTCGTTCTGTGCTTGTTGTCTGTGCTGGCACTCGCTCTGTGTTTGTTATCTGTGCTGGCACTCGTTCTGTGCTTGTTGTCTGTGCTGGCACTCGTTCTGTGTTTGTTATCTGTGCTGGCACTCGCTCTGTGCTTGTTGTCTGTGCTGGCACTCGTTCTGTGTTTGTTATCTGTGCTGGCACTCGCTCTGTGCTTGTTGTCTGTGCTGGCACTCGCTCTGTGTTTGTCTGTGGTGGCACTCGCTCCGTGCTTGTTGTCTGTGCTGGCACTCGCTCTGTGTTTGTTATCTGTGCTGGCACTCGTTCTGTGCTTGTTGTCTGTGCTGGCACTCGCTCTGTGTTTGTTATCTGTGCTGGCACTCGTTCTGTGCTTGTTGTCTGTGCTGGCACTCGCTCTGTGTTTGTTATCTGTGCTGGCACTCGCTCTGTGCTTGTTATCTGTGCTGGCACTCGCTCTGTGCTTGTTATCTGTGCGGGCACTCGCTCTGTGCTTGTTATCTGTGCTGGCACTCGCTCTGTGTTTGTTATCTGTGCTGGCACTCGCTCTGTGCTTGTTATCTGTGCTGGCACTCGCTCTGTGTTTGTTATCTGTACTGGTACTCGCTCTGTGCTTGTTATCTGTGCTGGCACTCACCCTGTGCTTGTTGTCTGTGCTGGCACTCGCTCTGTGCTTGTTGTCTGTGCTGGCACTCGCTCTGTGTTTGTTATCTGTGCTGGCACTCGCTCTGTGCTTGATGTCTGTGCTGGCACTCGCTCTGTGTTCGTTATCTGTGCTGGCACTCGCTCTGTGCTTGATGTCTGTGCTGGCACTCACCCTGTGCTTGCTATCGCTATATTCTTGTTATGGCCCTATAATTGCTTGAGCTGTGTGCTTGCTCGAGGTCTGTGGTTGCTATCGCTCTCTGTGGACCTCGCCCGTTGTGCGCCTGCGCATGGAGGTGAAGGAGTAGCGTAATATCAAGCTGACGGTATCCTGTTTGAACCTCGCTACCACAATACTCTTGATCTAGCGTCTTCTTTTTTTGGAGTTACGATAGCAGGTTGGCTGTTCGCCTTAGGAAACTGCGAATGTTTGTGAGGTTTGTTTCATGTATTTCAACATATGTGGATGTCTGTATATGTGTATTCTGTCAACTGTAACACAATGTAATATATATGTATGTATATATATATATATATATATATATATATATATATATATATATATATATATATATATATATATATATATATATAGTGAGGGTACCACCTCTGGTGCCAATGTGGGGACCCATAGCCTCGGAGAAGAAAATAAAAAGTATTCAGAGGAGACCTTATAAAACCAGAAAAACGGCCAGCCTACTCATGAGAAACTCTCCAGACACAAAACAGAACGCTTTAAAAGAGACTAACGTCGTCTATGCCTTCAAATGCCCTCTTGGGGACTGTAAGCTCCAAAAAACCCAGTATATAGGCAAGACAACAACATCTCTTTCTAGGCGTTTAACGATGCATAAGCAACAGGGCTCCATTAAGGAACATATAATCTCTTCCCACAACCAAACCATCGCCAGAGAAATCCTAGTAAACAACACAGAAATCATCGATAGATACAGCGATAGCAGGCGGCTTGACGTTTGCGAGGCACTACACATCAAGAAGTCAACACCAGCAATCAACAGCCAATTATTGCACAACTATATTCTACCCACCTCAAGACTCCGCTCCAATATAGAAGCATCAAGAAATATGGACCAATAGGCTTTCTACAAACACTTCTATTCAATATCCATTGTTTCGTGTTCTGTCTTGTGTTGATGAAATTAATACCCTATTAATACTCTTGTTCTGTCTTGTGTTGATGAAATTAATACCCTATTAATACCACATCTTGTTCTGTCTTGTGTTAATGCCACATCACCCCTTCCACCTCACTCAAATGTAGATATAAAATCGGAGATGCGTAAGTTCTATTCAGTTGTGTATTTGTGAACTAAAGTCTTTGAAAATGTAATAAGTTTTACGAAACGCGCTCGTGTCGCGTCAGACTAGAAATAAAATGAATTTTGGAGAATTGATTTTTGATTTACCTCCAACAGTGAAACGAAATGTACGAAAGATTGAGAAAATTCGTGTTAGAATTATTAATCTTACTTTTTCGGTCATATTTAATATATATATATATATATATATATATATATATATATATATATATATACGTTTTAAGGGTCGATTGTGTACAATCGACCCTGTACATTATCACCCTAAATCGAAGCGATCTATGGTAGAGAGCGCCCAGGGCACAGTCACCACAACACCCCCCCCCCCCTACAATACTAAAGCCATCACCACAATACCCCCAACAATCACAATTCACCTCGATTGATTGATTGATAAAGATTAAGCCACCCAAGAGATGGCACGGGCATGAATAGCCCGTAACTCTCTTCACCTCATCAAATGCATCCTCTTATCTTCCCCCCCTCTCAAGCCCTCACTAACTTCACCTGTGTCCCTCACCACCACACCTCATCTGTCACCTAAGTGTCTCACACCCTACACTCAGTCACGCTTCATCACACTCCAGTAAACACACACGACACTCTGTCATAGCTTCCACTCTACACCTCAGCTAACTCTGTAGCGCCAACCAACGTTAGAGCCACAGCTTCGGCTCTATCCACAACTCCCCCAATACCATGACCCTCCCCCCCCCCCTTCCATCCTTCCTGGCTCTGACAAAGCTTCAAACCCCATGACACACCTGCAGGCACTCCAACCACACAACTGCCCCCCCCCCTCCCCTATCCAACACTGTACCACACAACCTTAATATCACTATTGTTATTCACAGTTTCATCAGAACTGATTCAACAAATATATTCACAGTGAATAATACGCGAGGATGAATATACATAGGAACTGAAATATTTACAAATGGGAGCCACTTTTCAGCCTTAGAGTTGTGTCCGTCACTGTTGTAGTAAATAGTAAATAGTGTATATGTGTCCTTTTACATATTTCATATGTGGGTGTATGGATTGCTTCCGAGAATCTCGCCAGCAACTTCGTGTTGGTTCTGATGTTTGTGACGAAGGCGACACACACCTTCCGAGCTCATCGCGGCGACCCATGTACTCAACCCACGGTCAATATTCTTTTTACGCTGGTAATAACAAAAAGGGGGGGTGGGTAGGAGAGGTGAATACTCGTGTGTATTTAGAGTTAAATGGCAAGTTTTTCTCTGCTCTGTATTATCTTCTCCGAGGCTATGGGTCCCTACAATTGCTCCAGAGGTGGTGCCCCTATATAACATATATATATATATATATATATATATATATATATATATATATATATATATATATATATATATATATATATATATATATATATGACTGAAAACTCACACCCCAGAAGTGACTCGAACCCATACTCCCAGGAGCAACGCAACTGGTATCTACAGGACGCCTTAATCCGCTTGACCATCACGACCAGACTAAGGAAGTGATAGCCGAAGCTATTTGAACCACTTCCCCGCCGGCACTCGGTTGGTAATCTTGGGGATAGCATTTTATTAAATCACCTCATTCTTTGGGGCACACGTGAGGAACACAAATGCGAACAAGCCTGAATTTTCAGTCGCATATAGTCCTGGGGACCATTCAGGCTTGTTATATGTATATATATATATATATATATATAATCACCAGAATAGAAGCCCACTCATCTTGCTCTTACCCCGCCCACACCCCGCCCACACCCCGCCCACACCCCGCCCACACAAGCATTACGGTAACCGGCCATGGGTAAAAAGGTGAAGGTCTGCTGGCCTCCACCCATCCGACGTTTGTTCAATTGTTCACATTTTCCGTCTCCTCCTTCACGCGCTGTTCCTTGTTGCTTGTATATGTTGTGTTCCTCCGTGTTCACTTGTTCACATTGTTAAGTAAACAGCTTTGTCATTCACGCACATCTCCTGTGCCAGGTGAGTACAACGGGGTCACCATAGCCCGTGCTGCTTGGACCTTCTTGTTCCGAGTAGCTGAAGCTAAACCATCATCATCATCATTCACTATACAAGTTCAGTTTCCCTTTGGATCACCCAAGAAGAGGGTTCCGGTGCCTAAGTAGTGAGTAGAAAGTAGAAAGCCTTAAGAAAGTAGAAAGAAAGTAGAAATTGTGAGTAGAAAGCCTCGAGCCAATTTGCCTGTACTGCTTTGGAAAGGGGAGTGTGTGTGGCTGTAGTTGATTACGTCAAGATTACAGAGCAGTAAGTATTTATTATTCTTTATTAAATAATATACAATATATATATAGATGATATTTACATCAATTAAAGTAATAAAACAGCCTGGTTTACGTCCTGCTTGAAGAGGTACACTCGCTCACGGCTCCACAATAATGCGGAATATATATATATATATATATATATATATATATATATATATATATATATATATATATATATATATGTCGTACCTAGTAGCCAGAACTCACTTCTGAGCCTACTATGCAAGGCCCGATTTGCCTAATAAGCCAAGTTTTCATGAATTAATTGCTTTTCGACTACCTAACCTACCTAACCTAACCTAACCTAACTTTTTAGGCTACCTAACCTAACCTAACCTATAAAGATAGGTTAGGTTAGGTTAGGTAAGGTTTGTTAGGTTCGGTCATATATCTACGTTAATTTTAACTCCAATAAAAAAAATTGACCTCTTACATAATGAAATGGGTTGCTTTATCATTTCATAAGAAAAAAAATAGAGAAAATATATTAATTCATGAAAACTTGGCTTATTAGGCAAATCGGGCCTTGCATTGTAGGCTGAAAAGTGAGTTCTGGCTACTAGGTACGACATATATATATATATATATATATATGTCGTACCTAGTAGCCAGAACGTACTTTTCAGCCTACTATTCAAGGCCCGATTTGCCTAATAAGCCAAGTTTTCCTGAATTAATATATTTACTATAATTTTTTTGTTATGAAATGATAAAGCTACCCTTTTCTCTATGTATGAGGTCAATTTTTTTTATTGGAGTTAAAATTAACGTAGATATATGACCGAACCTAACCAACCCTACCTAACCTAACCTTACCTATATATATAGGTAAGGTTAGGTTAGGTAGCGAAAAAAAGCTAGGTTAGGTTAGGTTAGGTAGGTTAGGTAGACGAAAAAACATTAATTCATGAAAACTTGGCTTATTAGGCAAATCGGGCCTTGCATAGTAGGCTGAGAAGTGCGTTCTGGCTACTAGGTACGACATATATATATATATATATATATATATATATATATATATATATATATATATATATATATATATATATATATATATATTGTTTCTTTGTGTATATTGGTCAAAGTTTCAACTTAGGCCAACACCATTGTTAACTTCAGTGCTGCACAAAGACATGTGGTGCTGCCAATCACTGGGAAGCAGCCAAGTTTCGTAAATACAGAGACCTTGATCACCACTACAATTTTGTCCCCATTGACTCAGAGACACTTGGTGAAAAGGATAAAAGTACTGCTAGTTTTTTTTTAAGGAGCTGGGTTCTAAGTTAATTGAAACAACTAGAGA